AGGGGTTTTGCCATTTTGGAACCAGAAAAATACCAAATTATATTCTAAAAATCAAACAAATACTACAAAAATCATTAATTTCATTTCAAAAAATATTTCTGTCCTGATTTACATGTGTTTGTGTCGTGTACATAGAAGTGATAGTATAATAGCTTAAAATGAAGTCTTACTCTTGTATATTGTGAGGGGGTGGGGGTGGGTATAGGTTTGTGGGTGTGTGTATGTAGGATGGGGGAGCATGTGGGTGGGTGTGTGTGGATGGGTATGGGGTTTTTGGGAGGCTGTGATTTTGTGAGGAGAGGGTGGCTGGGGAGGATTGGCTTACATGCAGGGGTGGGGTTTGCACACAGACTTCCCCCCACCCCTGTAGCAGGCAGAGCCCCTGCCAGCACTCCATCAAGCCCGGGCTCTGTGCTCCTGCCACTCCTGGCCCCGGGGCACTGGTGTAGGCCCTGTGCTCCTGTTCACTGGCACTTCCCCGTCCTGTCTGCCATTACTGCCCTTGTCATGCTGCTTCCTACCCCACTGTGCTCACTGCTCCAGCACCATGTCCCAGCTGCATGGCTGCTTTAACGGGCACCCAGGGGCAAATAAATATTAATTTTCTATTTTTTTTTTTTAGGGGCTCCATGGGCCAGACAGAATGTCCTGGTGGGCTGCATCCAGCCCACGGGCCATATTTTGCCTGCCCCTGCTCAAGAGCCAAACCAAAAATAAGGTAAATTAATACAGGTAAACTTGGGGGGGAAATAAAGTCAATTTTCTTCATCCCCAGTTCTTTTTATAAGCTTTATAAAAAAAACTGTTTCTAGTTATACAAGAACCTAAAAGAGCACAAGTTAGACACTGACAATTTCATTCCACTTCTACTTTCTCTTTTAATATATTTCTTCTCAAATACAACAAAATCAGATAATCTGCTAAATGTGTGACAATCTGGTTACACAGAAGAAAAATATCCCAAGGCAGTTTGAAATTTCAAATGTTTAGCAAAGAGTTTTAGATATATAAAATGTCAAATATTTAATAAAACCATTTACCAGCAAAAATTATTTACTTTGCAGTTAAAATGTATTCTTACCTCAGGATCATCATCGTCAAAATCATGGTAAGTAGAGTGATCAGGATTATTCATTTTATCTAAAAGTTCAATAGCAAGTGTTCGATTTAAAGGCTGTGTAACAAAAGGATGCTAAAAGACAAAAAAGAAGGAGAGGACATTAAAAGTTCAATAAAAGTAAATACAAGTGGGCACAAAAATCATAGGAAGGTGGTCAGGAACACACACCTGTAGTAGTTTTTCAGCTGTAGGTCTCTTTTTAGGATTTTTTGTAAGTGCCATTTTCACAAAGTGATGGAAAGTATTTGACCTAGTAAAGGAACAATAGGTAGTACAATTATAAGCAGGGGTGTCAAACGCATCCAGGCACATGAGCTGGAAGAAGGGTGCAGGGCTGGATAGTGGGCCAGATCGGGTCCAAACAGCCCTGAATGCTAGAATCAGTGTGCACAGCCAGTCTGGTCTAGGTGCCACATAGCATGTACTGGCCCGGGCCCCAGCCCCAGGTACAGCATGTGGTGCAGGGAACTGGTCCAAGGCACGCAAGACTGGTTTCAGGCATGCACTCCACATGATGCCCACACCAGACCATCCCTGAGCCAGTCCAATACATGCACCTCATACACCACATGACCCAGACTGGTCCCATGCAGTGTGTGTGCACCAGGTCTAGCCCCCAAGCTGGATGTAGCCCATGGCAAATTGGCTCTGTGTCTGGCATGCAGCACATGGAGCTGGGGGCAGTGCATGCCGTATGTGGCATGCTACTCCAAGTCCCACAGGCAGCACCCTGGCTAAGATAATGGGGCTCTGCAGTCCAGATCCAGCCTATATCTTTGACAGCCCCGCAATAAAATAATGAAATACAGAATTAGAAATGTGCTAAAATAGCAGAAGGTACTTACCATTTCATTTTGTCTTTTAGCTTTGGAGGTTGAAAGTTGCTTTTTGTCATTAAAAACAATGCTCTGAAAAACAACATTTTCATGATGTGCATCACCTTTAGCATATAGCCAATTACAATTGCTTATTTTTGGCTGAAATAAAAAATGTAATCAACTCAAAAATATTAAGAGGACAAAGTTGCTCATTTACACAGCATAAAAAATGGCCACGACAAATTCTCACATGCATATACTGAAAACTGTAACTCAATATGATTTGCAATTGCCCTGCATATGGTAACCAAGTTTAGCCAACTATTTTAAAAATGTAACTTGTGGAATTTTACAGCCTGTCATAAAATTTACCAACCTCATTGGATGCAAGTCAAACATTGGAGGCTGAAGTTCTGCAAGTTCTATAGCTGTTATTCCAACTGCCCAAAGATCACACAGTTGGTTATAGCCACCTTTCCTTTCAACTGCAGCAACTTCTGGAGCCATCCTAAAAGTACGTTTCAGAGAAAAGACATTTTTCTTTTAGATTTATTTTTCCCAGAACTCAAAATGCTTAATAGTTTGTGTTCCATTTTATTATTCATTTTCCTTCGGTTCCACATATTTACAAATGTGTATGCATTGGTCTTATTGGGAAGCTCCTGAAATTCACCTGTTGGTCTACAGAACTTCAGGTGATATTTCAGTTCTCTCTCATTTTATCCTTTCCACTCCAAGTATGTCCAACTGCAGAGGCTGAAAGGATATCAAGCCTAAGAACATTTAATACTATTTCCCACTGAGGAGGAAGATAACATATGCTGATGATGCTTCCAAAACACTCCAAAGTCTGGCAGCAAATGAATGAAGCAAACTAGTCTTGGATTTTTAGCCACAACATGAGCATGATATTAGTGGACTACTTGCATTTTATATTTAAAGGCAAATATAATCTAACTGTAGTAAAAACAGTTATTTAAAAAAACACCCTGGAAAGTAAACAAAAGATACTGACAAGAATTCTACAGAAAAAATTATGCCTCAAACAATAGACTTCTCTCTCCAAAAGTGACCAGACAGTGTTGATTGCCAAGCGCTGCATGGACCTCCTGTGCTACATTTAACCATTCTGTGTCCATTTCCTTATTCTCAGTAAGGTGCTAGGAGACTCCATGAAAGTTTGCAAGAAGGTGCTTATACAGTGTAATATACAGAACCAATAGCCAAAAACAGGAACACTCAAATTAAAATCATAGAACCACCAGCATTATGTGAAAAACATCCATTTTGGTTTCTTGCAGAAAGTTACATATATAGCTGAATACTAAAGTCACATTCTATCAGCTAGTTGATATTCTCAAACTAAACAGGTTGGCCAGGGCTTAATCTATATGCAAGACCATCAAGAAAACAAATTTTCAAGCAAGAAGTTTTATAGTTTCATAGATGTTAGGGGCTGGAAGGGACCTTACAGATCATCGGGTCCAGCCCCCCTGCACGTGGGCAGGAAAGACTGCTGGGGTCAGATGACCCCAGCAAGATGGGCGCCAAGACGCTTTTTGAAGATTGCCAGGGTAGGTGACTGTACCACTTCTTGGGGGAGCTTGTTCTAGACCCTTGGTACTCAACCTGTTAAGAAGTTTTTCCTTACGAAGCGATCTTCAATCAGTTTGTGCCCATTATTTCTTGATCTCCCCTGGGAGGTCTTGGTGAAGAGATGCTCCCCCGGCCCTAATGTATGCCCCCGATATACTTATAGGCTGCCATCAAGTCCCCTCTGAGTTTTCTCTTATCTAGGTTGAATAGTCCCAAGTCTTTCAGCTCCTCCTCATATGACCTGGTCTCTAGGCCTCTAATCATGCACATGACCCTCCTCTGGACTCTCTGGAGCTCCTCCACATCTTTCCTGAAGTGCATGAATTACTTGTCTCCTAGTTAGTAATGAATCAATACCCCAAGGCAGTAGTGATAACCTGAAGTGCAAGAGAGTGTTTAAACAAAAACCTCTTCTAAACACAAATATCCTTACCATGTAAGTTAAACACAAATGGGTGTAAATTGGCCATGAAGAAATATTAAGGCTGACTCATGATGATTGGAGCAATCAGGTTCTGGGACAGCCTTCATACGTATAAATGTGTGTATGTACATATATATGTATAATATAATTAGATATGTACTGAAATAGCAATTTTACATTTCATGCAAAATCAGGTGTTTTCTGTTAAAAACGATCGGCTCTGCAATTGACAGGCTTGCTGGGGGGAGGCAGGGGAGAAGAAAAAAAAACAACTTATTGCCAAGCACAGAAAATGGTAGGAGGCCCTGCAATCTTGAAGCACCAGGAGGGAAGTGGAAAGAAAGGGGGTGAGAGGGACCTAATGAGAGGCTGAGCCTATGACATAGGCTCAGTATAGGCACCAGTTAGGGAAGTGACAGGTTTTTGGCGCCATCTTTTAAGCAGCCAGAGGCATGCTGCTCCAGCATACTGCAGCTTAAGGATGATTGAGAAGGGATGAATACAGAGAAGAAATCCTCCAAGGGGGCCAAATATGTTTCAGGTCTCAACTGTGTAAGGTAGTATCCTGCAGGGACCTTGCACACTGATGGAGGTAAACTGTTTTGTACTGCCTGCAACATGTCTCTGGATGTGTCAAGGGAAACTATTACAAATCGATACGTAAGATTCCGAGGCACACATGAAGCGAAATCCTGCTGCAGAGGCTGAAGGACAGCAAGAAACAAGTGACTGTGTCCTTGCTCTTTAAAAACATCACAGAAAACAGCTTGGCAAAGCGAGTGGCAGCATTTTCCCTTGTAGAGGCTTTCATAGTGGCAAACATCCTGCTGGAGAAACTTGATCACCATAAGTTAAGATAGTACCTAAACCAAAATATGCCAAATGCTGGCAGTTTTCCATGTGCGAACAAGCTGCACCAAGACTATCTCTCTGCAGTGACTGTTTCACACATACAGTCCAATGAAGCCACCGACCCTCAAGATAACTGAGTTTTGGCCAGCCATCAAGGTCCGCATGACAGGCAATCAGGGGCAGATAAATATTAATTTTCTAAATTTTTAGCGGCCCCACAGGCCGGACAGAATGGACTGGCAGGCTGCATCTGGCCCCCAAGCTGCATTTTGCCCACCCCTGCCCATGCCAGTCAAAGTGGGGACTTACATGCAACTGTGTTGCAGCCAACGGAGCCTGTGCTCACAAAGTGGAATTTATGGTTTAATGCCATCTGTTACCATCCCAAGCACGTGCAGCACTACACCAGCAGTTTATGAGCGAGGAGCTGGATCATACTCGGCACACAGTGCATGCTTAAGCTATACCATCTCCTGGAACAGGGAGACGTTCAAGATGAAGTGAGGTTTGTGATGGAAAGGGCCACCTGGATTCACAGACCTTCTAACGTGGTTTGAAGGCCAGCAGGCTGTGATCCACCATTCACACAAGCTGATGGATTTGATAAAATGGGTTGAAAACACGATATCGCAAGAACTGTCAAGCTGTTAACATGAAAACCAGCAGAGAAGAGACCTGTCCAAGGTAACAGCTGTGATGCTGAACCAGTAGTACAGGTATGACCTGTCACTGTGGTTCAGATAACTGGTTGCCTCCTTTTTAGTGCTGCTCACATTCTGGACCCCAACCACGTGCCTGGTCGGAGATGTGACCCTCAGCTACTGTAATCAATCCCTAGATGGAGAAAAGAGCATGACAAGGAACACACTGCTTACATGAACTTTGTCAAAGAGTGCTGGATGCCTGTGCCTATGTTTGGGGATTCTGTGACTGGTTTCCACATCTGTATGCCCCGGCAAAATGCTGCCTCACCATTTCAACTAACTCAGTGGATGCTGAGCATGCCATCTCAGCGTATGGACAAACATTCACCCCAGAGACAGAGAATGTCAGCAGCAATTGCCAGTGGATGCTGAATGCTAGCATTTAACAGCTGGCATGAATTGCCTGTCTCAAAGTTAGCATTAAGTAAACTCCTTTTTTACAATGTAATTTAATAAAGTATGGTGATGGTATTACTTACAATTTATGTTGTATATAGCTTTAATTTCATAAGACATTTCAGTTTAGAGTTTAATTTAATGCTTATTGCTTAATAATACATTGATTAATGGCTTCCATGGGCTTAATCAAGGTAATTAAGCCTCAGTTTTGGCCATCTGCCAATCTACAGCGAGGGATGAAACTGCCAGTGCCCCGCAGCCAGGTCCCTGCCACGACAAGCCCATGAAAATGGGAGCCAGTCCCTCAATCAGCCCGTGAAATTGGCCACCGGACTCCTTGATTTCAGTAGGTCTCTAAATATAATGTATGAAAGGAACTACATGAAGTAGTACCTGCCATAGCAGAGGACTAGAATCAATGATCAAGGAAAATGCTTCTAGTCCCAGGTTCCTCAATTACTATTGTGACATCACTAGAAATGACAAGACACACCTGCACACAAGAAGTCTGTAAAGCATTTTGGCTTGAAAGTGGCTATGCAAGTCCAAGATCTTATATAATCACAAATCTTGGACAAAAGCACTGAATTTATTTTTGCTAGTTTGGCTAAAGACACAAGAGAAGGGAAATTCATTTTCCTATCCCTTTAAACACCATGCTAAAAAGGCTCATCAAACCTAAAATACAGAACACACAACACTCATTAGAAGCAGATCTCCATTACGACATGCACACATTTCTGCTTCCCAGTCTGAATGTTATGCATTCAGCTGAGACTTGGGTAAACAGAAGAAATTGGTGTGCTGTCAAGGAATACAGGAGACCCTCACCATTTGCAGGGGATACATTCTCATATCCCTCACAAATGGCAAATCCGCAAAGGCAGCACTGAGTTCATGAATGCTGTCCCCCAGCAGCTGGAGGAGGGGAGGGCACGGTTGCACTGGCAACAGCGGGAGCACGGTGGCAGCAAGTGCAGAGCTCCCAAGGAGCTGCTTTAAGTGTACTTAAGATGCGGGTTCGGCATTCATGAATATTTGAAACCACAAGTGTCAAACCTGCGAATAGCGAGGGTTTTCCTGTACTACAACCACTGGCCACTGTGCCGGCAGCTACTCTGTATCCTTCTCTGGTTAAATCTCACACTCCCACAGAGCAGCAAAGATGGAAGATTATGGTTGTTACACTAGACCCCCTCAGCAATGCATGGTAAATCACTATTGAGAAAGAGGAGGCAAGGTAATGTCCCCCTGCCTTCCAGCTTTTCTAACGGATGCAATAGTTTTGTTTGACCATGCATCCTCCTACTGCTCTAGGAAGCTCTGAAAAGGAAAACTGGTGCCTTTCATCTTCATTATATCCATGTAACACTTTCAAAACCAAAGTTTATGGCTATGACAATTATTTGAAATTATGCAAACGTCACCAGAAGAACTTGGCAAGTATGAAGTGGTTTATTTTAAAGACTGATAGGCCTAAAAGAACCTGGACACATCAACCAGGAAATAGAGCCACAATCCATTTCTGCAGTCATGACAGGAAGGTTGCATGTACAACATTGAAAGGGAAGTCAGTCCATGTCTAGCTGATGCTCAGTATTAAAAACATGGTCCATATTACACAATTTGAACATCTTGTCCTTTAGCCTATTCCAAGGATCATTATATGAACGTTGAATCTTTTCCTAATGCACTCATACCTGTATAAAATACACTTCACACAAAAGACGTCAAAATACTTGTTTTTACGAAAAAGATACTTTTATAGTGAAGAATGTGCACCATTCTCTTAAAGGCAGGCATGGACAATCACTTCCAGTACACAGAGGAAGTAAAACAAAATGCTGACCTATAAAATGTAAATGTGCAAGTAAATAATGTAGGAAAGGGAAGAATAGAGGGGTACAGGACTAGCAGAAGGGTTCATTCAATCACAGACTAAAGCAAAAGATTCTAAAACAAGATTTTTGAAGAGGAAATGGCTGGAAGGAAGAATATTCCAAAGACAGCAGAGCATCTATTGAAAGAAACAAGTAAAACAGCCACTTATCAACTGTGCACAATTGCAAGGCAGGCACACAAATGACAAATTAATAAACACCAAAACCCCACCATTTCAGACAGTAAGATGGGTAGTAGTATACAGTTCCGTGCAGAACTTTAAAATTATATTCAGTAACTGACAGTTGACAAGGACGGAGAGGAGGATGCCTTATTTATTTATTAAGCTCAATAGTTCTGGCCACAAGCTTAAGGTATTTGGTTAAATTTAGCGTAATTTAAAACAAATCTCTAAAACTCTGAAGAATTGCTTTTTATGTACATTATTGATTTTAGTTATTGTAAAAACTTAATGCACTAACAATTAAGTAATAATAATTACCAATATGGGGTGCCAATGAAAGATTTCCTTTTGGCAATTGTAGCTGTTATCTGTGCAGAGACTCCAAAATCGGCTATGAAAAAAAATGAAGATAGTTCATAAATGAAGTACTGATTATATGCAAGTCATTATTTATGAACAATATATTTTAGCTTCTTTGTAATATAAATTTCTTCAAATCCAGAAACAGAGGCCAATAAGATGTTTATATAATTAAACATTAATTTAATCCTCTGAATTGGATCCCCCTCAGGCATTCAAACAGGAACCCTATGAAAATGGAATAATGGCATGCAAACTATAATAGAAAAAATGTGCATGTTTCTATTTCAGAGCATCACTATGAATATGTAACACTATGAATATGTAACAATGCATCCATGAAATAAAATATTTTTAAAAGTACGTATTATTTATTTCCATGCATATCAGTACTTGAAAAAACATACCACCATACACAGTAGAACTCAGCATATATTGCATATTATTTTGTACAGTAAAATATGGTCAAGACTATTAATATTAAAGATGTTTAAAATAATTTTAGCAACTGGAAAAAGACATAGTCAGGCAGTTCTAAGTGTGATTTGGGATGTCAATGTTTTTTGAACAACAAAGTATGCTTAGCCATCTGGAAAAATTATCAACTTTCCATTAAACACCATTTTCATAGTTAAACACCCATGCAGATATATTAGTTTGTAATTTAAAATTTAAGCTCAAAACAAATGAATTATAAATACTTGGCTGTGTGAGAATCAGTTTTTGGTTATAACATTTTAAAGTTACTCCTTTTTGTACATAAGTGTTCATGCCATATTACTGACAAATTCTGATAGGGAAATTATTACCAGTTAAAGGAAATAAAAGCGAATGCTGAAAATTCTCATTTTCTTCTCTTTTATACATGGAAAATGATCGATCACTAAGTTATTACTTAAATACTCCCTATAATTCTATGTAATTACACAAACTTTATTTGAAATAAAACAATGTACTCCTGCATCTGTAACATTTTTAAATAGATTCATGTAAATCCTGTATTCAGAAGAATTTGTTAAAGGATGCTTTTATATGCAGACTTTTAAACTATATATATATGCTTTTTACTTCATATAAAATATACCAGCCAAGTCTCAAAACTAAAATTACTACATGGATGTAATTTTAGTTGACCGTTGCAATATCTGGCTAATTTGCTAAGAGGTTTGCCTTTTTACAACAGTTTTCTTAAGCTACTCTCTGGTGGGTACACCAGTGTATTAATGAGTCTCTCAATGAGATTTACTGGTAAATTATATGTCATTCAAACATTTAGGTTATAAAATTTCAAAAGTTTAAAACAAGTCGTTATAATTTGCTGCATTTGTACAACCTGACAAAGGTTCAAGTACTTACCTAATTTTACATGGCCATTATCCGTTAAAAGAATATTTGCTCCCTTAAAAGAAATAAACACATTTCAATTAAAGTGTGCAGCTTTTCCTGATAGTTTGTAGAAACTACAAGATTTGAATAGAACCTAGGAGCAGGGAATATACCAAGGATAATTAAACATTCAAACAACTGAAAAATTTGTTAGGAGTATTTTTAAAGTTAGGATGACATCCTGATATGTTGCATAACCCAGATGTTTGCAAACACCACACTGTAAGACCTGTGCATCCATACATTTCAGAGCTTCCCACTGTATATAAATTTGACTTCCAAACAGCAGAATTAAGTTTTGTAAATTGTTAAATTTGTGGCTAAATGTTCAGCTTTATGGAGTCAGCAAGCAGAAAAGATGTCCCAAACTGATCCTCAATAACAGGTTCCATTATAAATTGTCCCATACAAAAGGAAGCAAGAATTCTTGTGGGCTATTCTTTTAGTGGACCAACTGCATGGTTGGAAAAAGACAGACTAGCTTTCAGGTATCACAATACCCTTCCTGAGGTACTGTGTGTACCTACAACAAGGATGGGTACTGTGATATCCCAAAGCTTGTGTTTGTCTTATCTTAACCATGCAATTGGTCCAATAAAAGATATCGCCCACAAGCATTCTTGCCTCTCACATATTTTCTGGACCATCAAGGGCAACAACATCATTTGAACACAACTGTATAAAGCAGTGATTCGCAACCTTTTTTGTACTAGCACCCATTTGCAAACATCAATGGCCAGCCCTGAGCCACTGCCCCTCACTCCCAACCCACTGTCCTTGACCCCAAGACTTAACCCCAAAGTTTGTGGGGTAGTGGGGGGCCCAAGCAGCCCCTTGCAGGCTGGAACTCTGCCAGCCTGCATGGGAAAAGCCATGGTATCCCACATTTTCCTCCTTTAAAAGAGAATCCATTTTTAAAGTTTGTTGATCCATTTTTTAAAGTTTCCAACACTTTCATATATTCTTGCGACCCACTTCTGGGTTGCGCCCCATGAGTTCAGAAACACTGGTATAAAGGACACATTTAAGAAGAACCTGAGCAGTTGCTCAGGGCATATCTGAACTGAGACAGAAGCTAGCTAAGGACAGCAATAAATGAGAAGCAGCAAGACGGCAGCACCACAAACAAGCTGTTGTGGGAAACAGAAAAACACATTTCTAACAAACTTTGCTTTTCCAATCACTGCTTTTGATATAAAAAAGGAGAACAGAGGCCTTCACTATCACCACAGCACCTCAACTGCCTGGAAGGACTTTGTAATTGATGGGTTTTGTAACTGGAACCGAGTAAATTATTCTGTTTCTAAGGCCTTGGTGGAATCATAATCCAGTTTACTTTCTTTCAGTCAGGTTGCTTCCACGACATCAACAAAAACGCATAACTCAGTTGCTGAAAGAAGTAGATATGACTTAATATAAACAGAAGAACGTATGATTTTCCCCTGAGTCTTCTCATGGTTGGACAGCACTTCATAAGAATCGCATACATTTTGTTTTTTAAATTCTTCGAAGTATTCTTGGTCTGAACCATAGCCCACTGAAACCATCTAACAAAATCCAGTCTTTGACTCAGACCACTTTATTTCTTGAGTATGAACAGATAATATAGCTTTTATGTTCTGATTTTGAGAATACACTGAGTTACACATTTCAGTCTTGCAACAGTCACTTTTTTTTATATGGGTCAAGTCAGAGTGCATGTTGGTGACTATGGATTTGACAACTCTTTTCTATCAAACAAAAGCTCTCTTTTCTCATATCATGTTTCTGCAACTGTTCTTTGTTTAAAACCTACAGCTGAAAATTTTCCAAACTGTTTGTCCAAAATTTGGTTTCAAAATACAAATGACACGATCTTCACAAGCAAGGAGTTCCCACATCCCTAAGCACTATGATACATATCCCACTGAGGCAAATGGCAATAGGAGTTCAGCTGTAAAGCCAGTACACACCTATGCTTAAGCACCTATATCTGAAAACATTAGCATGTACTTTTCTTTTTGAACATTTTTCTTCCCAAATGCACAATTTAAAATAAGATTGCCTATACCCTTTTAAGAATTAAAGTTTAAAAAACAACTTGAAGGGTATAGTTTTTACATTATCAGTTGCAGAATACAGATTTATTCAAGCTACCACCAAGAGCTCAGTTATAGCTCTTTTAACCTCAAGAAGGGAGCGTTAAGGAGGCATTATCCCCCACCATAGAAGGCCATGCTGAATAGAACTACCTGTTCTGGGAGCTACGAAGCAGACAGAGAGCAAGGAATAGCAAAGTCATTATTCCCTCTTGTGGGAGGGTACAGAATAGGAGGGTTTGCTGCATCTTAAAAACATATCAAAGATTAATCCTCAGAACAACTGGAAATGCTCCCCTATCCAAACAAGGGCATGTACTGCGCTCCAGTACAGGTTGGCAGCTAACTGTCACAACACAGTCATAAATAAATGCTGTGTTTAAACCATATAAGAAAATTATTTTCCCAGTACAGTACACATTTTTAAAATGACACTTCTCTTTTGTTATGTTACTGTTTTATTAGTAAAAATAACAACAATAAAAATTAGTAAAAATAACAACACTTTAAAAATATTTCTCTGTAAAAATATGTAAAACAACATTCAAGCAATAGTTGGAACATTTACTTAGTTGAAAAACAATTAACCTACCTTTATATCTCTGTGCATTTTTCCTTTACTATGAAGATAATACAATCCCTGCAATTTGAGAACAAAGCATTTAACTAAAGAAAATTACATAATCATTTAGCTAAACTTTTTATTTCACAGAAATTTACAAGATGTTTGGTAACACAGATTTAGGATACATTCCAATAATTTAGTAAAGATAAAAAATAGGTGCGGGATGGAGGCACAGGTCAAGGAGTGGGGCCAGCTCCCATTGCTGTTTGGACCCCAGAAGCAGGGGGTGGAGGCCTGTGCCCTCAGATCTGCACAGGGCAGGCAGCAGCTGTGGGGTGCAGCCAGAGCTGATGCTGCGCAGGGCTCTTCTCACCAGGGTGCGAGCAGAGGTGGGAGCTGCCCACAGTCCACGAGTCACCCCCCCCCCCCCCCCCCCCCCCCCGCCGCCCCACCCCCGCCCCCCCCCCC